GGTAGTCAAGATAAAATGGAGTGTAATAGTGCGTAAATAAAAAGACTATCATGAAGTAGATAAGTGGTGTTTCAGTGAGGAGTGAATTCAAAGATCTGGAGGATTAGAACCAGTAGGACAAAATGACCTGTAAGATGTCTCACGAATTTCTTTAGGGCCTATGGGGTAACACTGATGTTTTAGCGTCATTCTGAACTTTGCTATGATGAATTCCAAATGTAAGAGGCAATAATCATCGAAACTGCAGTAATATTTTCTAGCTGTACCGAATTTCTTCCTTTGATGCAGTTTCTCATCAGCAGTTTGCAATATTCGTGATGAGTTTATGGGAAACGTTACTGTATTTTCACTTTCATTAGTGACACTTCACGGACAATGGAATGCAATAACTAATACACTCAAGCATTGTAACCTGAACATCACAAAATCCCTACAGATAACTTGTTTAATAATAAATGCTTAATTGACATGAGCCATAATTGCACCTTCCATTTCCTTCACAGCCACAAGTAATTCATAAAGGATCTCAAAATATCTTAGTGATCTGAAAATGAATAATTATTAAGACTGATATAAGTAACAGGTGTAATAGTTGTAGGACACAGATGCTAACTACTATTTGACAGAAAGCTGATAATAATTTTAAGCAGTCTGACATTTAAGAAGGACCATCTTTACTATTCTTCTTGCCCCAATGCACACTGATATCAACATAATCTGATGCCATGTTATGCACTGAGCAATCACGGTCTTCCGAAATTCCATGTGACAATGTAGATTAAACTAGAATCACATCTTCGCCTGAGTAATTTTAACTAGGAACTTCATCAAAATGGATATAGTCACCAGGAAATTCAGCAGCTTGTCCAATTCATCTCATGATCTCTTCGATGTGTTATGGAATATTTCAAACATCACGGATGATAATAAAAGTGTTTAACATCCTCGAAACGTACATCTAACTTATGTCTGTGGGCTATTTCTCTTTCAAATGCCCGATTCGCATAGGATAACTGCTATGACAACAACCATTACCTGTAGTCAATTTACAACCTTAACATCTAAAACAACTCTGAAATAACAAAGCTTTAAGACTTCAAAACGCAAATAATGGTTTTTCTATGTGAAATGTTTTGTATAAAGGATGACTTCTTTTAGAAATAAATCGTCTGAGATATTAAGACAATTTCACCCATTAATACGAATACAATACAGAAAAATATTGCTTTTTCTGATACAGAAGCCTAAAACTAGTCGAATATAATCTATTTTCATAAAACTGAACGATTATAACGCCTCTATAGGCGTGAACGCGATAACCCATCGCGAAAATATATCGCGACAACGTTTATCCTCACCCCAGGAAAGCAATGGCTGAACACGAAATCGCCTGCAATTAACAAAATTGTGCACTCAAACAAAATATCTACAGCAGTCGAATCAACCACTGACGGTCTAATTTACGTAGAATACAAAATGGCTTATGAAGTACAACTTTGGTTTTTGAAGGTTCAGTATTAAACGTAACACTGTGGATGTAGCATTTTCATCATATGGCTATGGATTTATTTGCCCTATGTTGAAGATGCCTGTAGAATGGCTTCTTTTGTACAAAACACTGGAAATAACTGTTATTACCATTTAGTCCACGGCATTTTATTGCCCTCCAATCCATAGAGTTGAAGCACTTATCACGCTACTATGATAGTGACACTGGTGAAGGCCATTCAAAACTCGATGGTACAGGGTGGGTAGTAAATATTCGCCTTGAACATTAGCAGTGTTTTGTTATGCTCATAACTTGTTTTTCCTGAATTCAGTTAAGTACAAAGCCTCGACAAATCAGCCTTTATTCCATGAACGGGCACTTTTCATTGCGTCCAGACTTTCTATAGAATTTGCAAGGTCCATACTCTGTTCTACTGGTGTGAACTCCATCCAGTCGTGTCTCTTTTCAGACTTTAAGCAACCCTACGACCTTCCGGACTGCTTTCGTCGATGAATGAACGTCTGTTGGTTGTTCAATGTGTGCTCATTGTATCTCGGGACGAATTGTAGGTGGTGGCCAGATCACGAGTCTTTTTAAGTGATCTGCTTGGAGTTTCCTTTGTCATACTGCCCTTAATAATTAATTTTTTATCACCTAACACTATCCAGATCTGCTTTGATCTCTTCCCAGATAGCTAGCTGGTTATTCAGTATGGTTGGATTGGTTGTAAGTGAACAGATGCTTGTTGCGAACTAGTGGACGCGATTTTCGACGTCCCTTTCACTTGCTACTTTAGTTGTCAATGTTCTATAGAAGTCATACAGAGATACATTTGTGACGCCGTAAACAGTAAAAACAGAGTTGGACACGTCCATCTTACTATGTAGGATAAAAGTGAAGTTTACCTGAGAAACTCACTGCCTTCCATATTTATTAAGTTTATTTTACTAATGACAGTGCTGTGATTATTAGCAATATTTTATGCTCGAAGCGTCATCCAGTTGTTAGTACTGCATCTTTGTGTGATTATTAAAATAAACATATCTAACATAAAAATTGCCTTCTACCACAGTGCCCAAGTTCTACACTCACATCAAATTCACGGTCTGTCCAGAAAATCTTTTCCTTTTTCTTGTCAGTGGCTACATTGTCAATTCTTGTCTAAGCATGTTTTGATTGTCAAAGGACCACTTGGCATACCCTATTGAGAAGAGTTACGATTCTGCTGCTGGGAGGACTGTTTGGGCCAGTCGACTTAAGAAGCCGCCTAAAAGAGTTGAATAACTGCGTCTCATCAGAGTTTACAATAAGATGTCATGTGCTGATTGAGCAAACTTCAATAACTCGCCATCGTGATATCTCTAGAGGTTTGTCAACCGATGTATCTAAGTCATCGATGGTGACTCCTTAATGCAACACAAGCCCAATCTACGCTGTCTGCGTCAACCTAGATAAAAACTAATCTCTGAAGAGTGTCTCTTCGTTTTTCATTTGGCTACTGTCTTCATGTATTCGTGAAAGCATGTATAAGGCTGAAAAAGCCCCTAACTCGACCATTTGGATGAGTTTATCAAGTAATTGGGAATTAGACAGCTTCCGTTCAGAATAGCTGCCATAATCTCCTCGAAAGGATTGCTTACTTCTGGCGTAAATGCGTGTGGTGACGAAACAGGTCAATTATTGTGGTGAGCAGGGATAAGTGCCAGGAATTGTGAACTTGATTTGGCTACCAAATGTTTATGGAAGCTGGCTTCGGCTCACAGAAACCTTGTTTTTGCATTACCTGACCGAATAGGCACGAGCTGAAAGGGTCTGATAGTATGTCAAGTGTGTATAGGTTAAGTTGTATGGTCGCACAACCTTAAAACGGCTTTTGTAAAAACGCAGCAAGAGATAGCAGATGAATAAATAAAAATTGAGTCGAAATCACTGAAATCGAATCAATTTTGTTTGGGTGCTGACAGATTTGAAAGCTGAAGTTCGTACACGGTCTCCGCAGTTCAAATGATAGATGTCGAGGGTTACGCGAGGCACTCTGCATGAAGACGCAAGTGTTTACCCTGCCACTACCTAAGTACTTGCTCTATTTAGATCAAACAACTACTCGGTAGTCAAATCAGAAGAACAATTCGATCGTCCGAAATAGGAGATATACTTCGGAATCAGACACGAAGATAGATGATGATTGCTTAGTAACTCGGGATCGTTTTGAAATGTCAAAAAGTAACACAGTGGGACGCCAATTGGCATGGATGATATGTCGTATACCTCCAGCTGAATAAGTCAACTTAAACAGTGAAGGTCAGTATGGAATATAGAATGAAGAGTGCTGTAAACTTACAGTTTTCGGTGACCACTTACCACTACCCTCTATTTCCGGATTATTTGATGTGGTTTTATATGGCCGATTTTACTTGAAAACTGTTCAGACTAACTTCGCGGCATTCCATAAGAGTCTTTTGTCTCTCCTAGTACTCTACTTCACACATTTCCGTAGACTGTCCATTTTGGCACTACTAGTCGTGGTTCACCATTCTTCTCCCCTGTATCAGCTCCCAGGTATCCATAGTGAGCTGTTCCTTCTGCCATCTTCTTTTTGCTGCCAAACATATCTGTAAAAGTTTGTTTCCAAACCGCTTTCATTGAGATATGGTGTTCTTCCACGAATATTTTCTCAGTGCTGCTTAAAATGGCCGACTTTTTCTTGTTGACAGTTGTGAAGTTGTCATTTGAAGCTCCACCCTTCAATCCCCGGAAGCCGAACTTCAGTTTTGGTCCTTCTATAGCTTTTTCGAAGGATTTTCATACTGTGCGTCGGTGGCACAGTGGTTAGGACTCTCGCCGACCATGCACATGGTCCGGGGTTCGATCCCCTGTCGACGCACACCCGATATCTATGGTCGGCCTGCAAAATTTGGGCTACCGATATCCATGCTGAAAATTCCATACTTGTACTGAAAATACGGTGTGGCATCAAGCTGTAATCAAAAAATAAATAAATAATATGAACCTAAATCTGTTCCCCTTCTCAGTTTTGTGTCCGATAGGCTGAGCACCGATTTCTTGAGGCTGAGATAAAGTTTATCAGATTTTTTGTATGTCCACCTCGAGAAGTCACATTCTCTAGCGGATATCCTTGTTTCTGCACAAAATCATCAAGTTCAGATCTAATTTTCCCCCTCCACATTAATCCAACATTTTGCCAATGAATAACAGATTCACTTGTATACATGAACTGTCTAAACTTCTTCAAAAATTCCAGATAAATCATCAAGGAGTTTGAGATAAAAGTCTGGCACACATTTCTGGAGCAGCGAATCTTCCGGAACTTGGGAAATGAAGTAGTATTAACGTGTAGCTCTTAACATTGAACACTAGAATGTGTCATGAATGCAATGAAGTTAAACTAATAGATACTTTTATTTATTTTAAAATATATTTTTAAATTAGAAAATAGATATTTAATGCATATTTGATGAATGCTTCCAATAATTGCGTAAGCACATGGTAATGGTGAACACAGGTTCATTTTAACTACACCGTGGTACATTCGAGTGGAAGTGATTCGGTGTGTAGTTAGGATACCTCACTGACTTGGATGCGGTAAAATGGGGGATTTCCAAAGTTTTAAGGTAAATATTCTGTTTTCATTAGCTTTTAACTTCCCACTGCATGCAATATAATGTGTATCAATTTTCCCATAACTTTCTATCATGTATCTAGACGGATTATATGCATAGTTTCACTGATTGTCTCATATTCAGATTAACTTATCACAACTTAAATACTTTAAATTGTCTTCAAATAATTGTATTGACCAATTATTTTGTATTTAGTTTGAAAACTCCATACCGGATATATGTCCTGAAACCCAACTAAACTTCAGGAAGTTTCTACAGGCTGCTGGGATTGAAAATATGTTAATAAAAGATGGTCGTAGGATATCAGACACTGAAGTTTTGAACGAAATTAGAAAGGAAGTCGCTGTTTTGTCTATGAGCGACGATGACGGGTAAGTAGGCACCACTAATATATAATTTGTTAGGCGGACATCATTGATTCCAGCTTGTATAAACGGTGATTCCGAGGCCGTGAAAATGCTCATTGCATCGGGAGAGTGCGATGTTAATGAAGTTGCTCCTGATGGAGAGACCGCACTCACTTGTGCTATATCTTCTAACTCAGTGCAGATAGTAGAGATGCTGTTAAAACATGGGGTATGTTTCAAGTAATTACTTATTACTGTGTAGGCTGATCCAAATTTTCGTGGCAAGAAGATCGAATGTACACCACTGATGGAAGCTGCCAGCGTTGGATACGCGGATATTGTCAAATTACTGTTAGAACATGGTGCATGTGTTGGTCAGAAATCAAACACTGGAAATACTGCACTTCATTATGCAGCAACATCCGGGCGTTTGGAATGCGTTTGCCTATTGCTACAGTACAATAGCCCAATGGAAGTGCAGAACGACACCGGACATACACCTCTAATGGAAGCAACAAGTAACGGTCACGTGGATGTTGCTCGTTGTCTTATTAAACATGGATGTGATATCAATTCTCATTCAGCTGAATTCAAGGAATCTGCTCTTACATTAGCAAGCTATAAAGTATGTTTTTGACTTCATTACTATGAATGTTACTCTTTTTGAAGCCTTATACCATCAGACCAGACACTAGGTAGACAGTTTAGAAAAATAACGAGATAAATTAGTAACTTATGCATTGTCCAAAGGTATGAATAATAATTCGCGCACCTTATGATTTCGTGTTGGCCAGGAAAGCTTAAATCCAGTAAAGAGCACACACACGAATGCTTAAAGTCTTCAAACTTTGTCGCAGTGTTGAGCACTTTCTTGGCATTGGGGGTTGTGCATTGAGTGTTGAACGGGGACGGTTTGACAGGATAATTGCCACTTGAATCTTTCAACTTTCTGTTACCTTCTTTGAGTCAAGATATCTGGTTTAACAGGCAGTACAATTAGGGCAAAACATACATTTAAGAATGATTTTGGCACTCATAAGTTTCTACACTGGTGCGTATGTTGCCTATTGGTGTTGCGTTTATAACCTTGCGTCCTGTCACAAGGAGTTCACCCACTGCGTGCAAGAAATGACAAGGCTAAGTGTCTGTGTTCTTATACCCATTTTAGGTGGTATAATAGGGTGAACAATATTGAGGTTAGGTGTCGAGTGTTAAGTAAGTAGGGAAAAGCAGTCGATAAGGTTGTGAAGCTTGATCAATTGAGGTGATCAGGACATGTGTTATGGATGGCTCGGTAGTCCTCAGGAAGTTCTCAGTGTCTCAAATGCACTCACTCATTGTGATATGACGTATCCAATAAAACTATTGTTCTTTTATACTACTGTTCTTTTTCCCTCACACTTCTGTTTATTACCCACCTTCACCCTCTCCTCTTGCTTTGTGTGCTACATGGAGTGGCAAGTCGAACTGTCTCATATCAGTACAAAGTTTTATGATGAATCCAGTCAATCAGTCACTTACTACCCATTCTGCTTTTTGCTTCATTTGCAATAATAAATTGGTTTTGAGTTCATATATACAGTCAAATGTGAACAATGCGGATGAACTGATGTTTATTATCGGATAAGTGTACGCAGTCAACATTGGTGTTTCCACCATACTGTAGTAATGAAGTCAATCTGAAGAAACGACGGAGCACAATGCGATCAGTCATAGGGTATCACATTAGAGACTTTGAAATATAGATGGTGAATTCAACATAATTGCCCTCCACTTTAAACCTACACCTAAATGGTTTTATGTAATCCTCTTTCCGTAGTTAAGTTGTATAGTCAAAGTTGTGTTTTACCTATCAGGATTCTTCCTGTATTTCCTTCCCTACAGGGTCATGCAGAAATGGTTCGTTTTTTGTTAACTGCTGGAGCTGATCATGAACACCGTACTGATGAAATGCACACTGCTTTAATGGAGGCCGCAATGGAGGGACATGTTGAAGTTGCTCGTTTACTTCTTGCACACGGAGCTAACGTAAACATACCACAGGATAGTTTCGAATCGCCCTTAACTTTAGCAGCCTGTGGAGGTCACACTGAACTTGCACATCTGTTGATTGGTTATGGAGCTGATATTGAAGAAGTTAATGATGAGGGATATACACCTTTAATGGAAGCTGCAAGAGAGGGTCATGAAGAAACAGTTGCTCTCTTGCTTGCAGTAGGTGAGTTAACAAATAGTTGATTTGGTTACTGAGTTTTCATAATGCGATGTTTTTTAGAGCGTGAAATGTCACTTATCTACTGTACTTGAGTGGCTAATTAGTGATCCAAATCCACACGTATTTGTAGACTGTAGAATCACAATATTCATATTGCTTGAATTACTATTGCCGTTGTTTTGGAATAATACTTTATTCCAGTGTGACCAAACTAGGTCTGTATAGTTGATTGGGGCTACATTTACCCAACATCGCATATATATATATATATATATATACAATTTATTGCTCAAGATTCGCCTTGCTGTTCTAACCGTGGAATATAAATAAACTGTAATTATTCATTCTTGAAAAGTCGACTTACACGTTCATACTCATGATGCTGTTAAAAAGTCAGATTTGTCCGTATTTCGTATGTGGATATTTCATCAAGCAGAACTATTTCCCGGAATAGACTTTTCATATATCAGTCTATGAGGCAACCTTTATGTGTTAGGATAATGTGAGCCAATCGCATGGGTTGAATTGTCTGACTGAGATTCGAACCCCGTTTCCCGTGGCTGATAGTTCCAAAGCCAATACACAACATACAACTAATCGTATACACCAACAATGCTTTAAATTTGAAGAGACCAATTTCTGATCTTTAATGATATGTATGATTAAAATTATTTGTTTTCTTAACTGGTGTTAGGTGCTGATGTAAATTCAAGAACGGAAGAGACACAAGAAACTGCACTTACACTGGCGGCATGTGGTGGATTTATAGAGGTTTGTGAAATGCTGTTAAATGCTGGTGCTGATATCGAAGTTGGTGGGGTTGGTTGTTCCACTCCTTTGATGGAAGCTGCTCAAGAAGGACACCTGGAACTTGTCCGTCGGTTATTAGAACGTGGTGCAGCGGTCAATGCGGTCACTGCAACTGGAGACACAGCACTTCATTACGCAGCAGAGAACGGACACGTAAAAGTATGTGAAAAGTTACTAGATTGGGGAGCTGTTTTTGGAGCTATGACAGAAGGTGGACGGACTCCTTTAATGAAGGCTGCAAGAACGGGTCATTTGGAAGTTGTCCAATTGTTTCTGGAACGTGGAGTGGCCATTGACCAACCTACTTCACAAAACGACGCTAATGCCTTATCATTAGCATGTAGTGGTGGGCATGCAAAGGTAAGTTATCTGTTGTGAAGTACGCTACTTGACTTTTGAACATGTGACTAAGGATTATACGTTTTTTTGATGAAATATCAGAATCCTAGGAGTTACTATTAATAAGATATGAGATGTTCTGAAAAGTCTAATGTACTTCTAATCCCTATATGACTGATTCCTTTTTGTCCTAGATGGTCGAGTTTCTTTTGCAACATGGTGCTGACCCACAATATCAGCTAAGAGATGGTTCTACGATGTTAATTGAAGCCGCGCGTTCTGGGAATCCAGCTGTTCTGCGACTTATTTTGGATTATCCTAAGTGTCTTAGTCAGCCATCATCGATGCTTCCTAATGCTTCCGTTCAGCTTGTTGCCAATACTTTGAATCAGCACCCAATACAACACCCATTTTCTCATGATCAGCGCTCCGCATATCAGTCACTCGTTAGTGGTGTGTCTCCGACTGGTAATGTCATAATGCCACCACCACCACCGCCTTTACCTATTGCTGTCTCTGGCGTATCCAGCGTGGATTTGTGTCTTGATCCATCTCATTCGCATCTACATCAAACTCATTCTCACTCCTGTCATTCACATCAGCAGTTGTCTTTCCAATCACCTAACTTACCTACTTCAAACAAGTCAAGTCAACCTACAACTCATATAAATGCGGCTCTTGCTAATGCGTATGCTGTCGGATGGGCAGCTGGAGCTGCTGCCTTAGTACATCAGCAGCAACAACAGCATCAACATGTAATAACTTCATCTACATCTAGTTCAGGTATGTTCTTGGGTATTTTATCCCCAATATTTTAATGATAATTGTGGATATTTTTTCACAACCGAGTAATTCTAATGTTTATATCCTACATATCAGACAGACAATTTAGAAATAGTTGTTGCATCGTAGAAAAAATACATTTTGGTTTTTCGCTGTTGACAACATACTTTTACTCAGTTAACCTTGTTTTCGTCTTAAGAGTAAATGCATCGCTGCTAACGCATATTGACTCAGTATTATACTGCAATCCTTGGACATGGAGTTCATGATTATATTTGTTCTTGTTTCCTTTGGTTTGAATTTTAGCCTTTGAGGTGAAGATAATCTGACTCTGTTAGCAAAACGTTTCCTCAGCTATATTTTGACGTCAGTCATATGAGGGGTTAGTCGATAAGTAATACAGTTTGCAACAAAAGATGGATAATTAACCGACAGTTGTTAAGATAGTAATGTTTATAGAGAAAATGCTTTATACGTTGTAGCTTAATGTAACTAGTGCTCCGCGATATACCAGAAGGTAAAAAGAGTTATATACCGGCGCAGTTCAATATTTCTACCCCGGTATATTTCCGAAATGTTGAGAATCGCTTATTTAAAGTAGTAATAAACATGACAAACACTCATACTTCAGTATTTGTACACTAACTTTTTTGAAGACTCATTCTTTACAGTTTATATGGCTTTTAATACAGCCATTTTAAGACTGTAATTATTATCAGTATTTGCCACACTGTACAGGCAATGTTTCACATTTGAATTTACTCTAGCTGGTTTTGTTTTATAATTTATTCCCATTCACCTATCAACATTCTTCCAATGGATTGAGTTACGTTCAAGTTCCGTAAATTGTAACCACTTAATGTCATAAACTGAAATGAATTAAGGATATGTGCTAGTTTGTGGTCACTTATGGTCATTTTTGCGTGGGAAATTCAACACTTCCATTAATTCAGCATCCAACACACGTTACATGAAGGCATCAACATCACCTTCAAAAGTCAACAATCGATATGAGACAGTCCATGTCTTAATATTCACACAAATTAACTAACTACTTATACTTAGTAAGTAGATTAACAGCGAATCTGTAAATTTTCATGGAGAACATCTTTCAGTACGTACAAAGAAAGTACTCAATGGCATGAGTGATTTGTCAGGTTTCTCAAACCGTTAATTTTAAAATAAAAACTTGCTGAGAGAAATTAGTAGTCACGAACGAGAAATTGCCTCAGAGTTCTAACAACAAAACACAGTAAGGTTGCTTGACATCTAAAATAATGTCTTTCTATCATGTTCTGAATATTAGTTCTGCAATCCTTTTTTAATTAACCGTGTAATTATGATCTTATAGTTTTAACGTATTCATCATGATGTTTCTCTTAATGGTCATTTTCGTACATTTATTGACTTGCAGTGGATACGCCTATGCTTATATGTCCTCCAACGAATTCTATTTATTCTCATGCTCACACATCTGTACCACTGCATGAACAGATTTTGTTATCAAACAGTAATACCTTCGAAATACTCCCTGCAGCATCAGTATCAACTAATGTATCATGTACCACCTTACCTTCAAACTGTTCGATTACAGCTCATAATGCTCATTTAAATTTTCAAACCACCTCTGTCACTGCTGCTGTTAATCCCGTTACTGGAATGACTAGTGTCCATACTGTATTAACTCAAGCAACTTTAGGAGCCAGTGGAACAGGGCAGTCATCTAGCACGACAAATAGTATTGGCAGTATTAGCGGAGGTAGTTCAACTAGCAGTGGTAGCAGCGCTTCGTCAATGGTTGCTGGATCTTCGATTGACTTGACAGATGATTTCAGTGCGGGTCTTTTGGTAAGTCCCCCAGTGAATTATTTGAAGTATTTGTTTTCACCGTTTTATTTATTAGAGTAATTTTTCTTTAGTATTGACTGAGATGTAGTTAGGTAGTAGTCTTTAGTGTCTGCCTTTTTACTTTATGAATGTTGTAATATGCTTTTTGATTTTTCGTTAAGGCGCTATTCCAAGAACTTATGCCTGACTTGAAGGCAGACAAAGATGAATTGATCAGACGGTTTGAAGCTGTAATGTGTCCTTTTAGTGCACTTCGCGCAGCTCGCACTGCTATCAGTCAGCAAAATGGAGTGAGTGTAGATTCTTCTGCAGCAGCAATAGCAATGAGTACTAATGCTGCTGTGTTGGCACTGAGCAAACTTATTGACCAGCAGTCACACTGTCATGTTCACTCTTCGTTTCCTGCCAATGGTTGTGATATTATTGAACATCTCTCACCCAGATGCATTCATACTTCTACGGTTGACGCTGTCTTATCAAAAACCACACAATGGACTGGTCTTCTTTCAACTACTTGCGATGCACAATTTGCAGAAACACTTCCTTTTTCCACGGAGTGCGGAACGTCATTCAACAAAACTAGTGATCAACCAGACCTTACTGATTCCGATAATCAGAATTTTGCTGCAAACATAACACCAATAATGTCTTCGTGCCATTCATCATGTTCTGCTCTATCAACATCCGAATGTTCTTTGTCTTCTGTTCACGCTGCAAGTTCTTTGTGCCGCGTTAACACAACTACCTCAACAACTGTCGAATCTGTTTTGCCAGCATTAAATTCCTACGATTATGGATTGGATAAAGCATCTGATATCCTAGAATCTTGCATTGATTCTTCCTATTTAAGCAACTTGGTAGATGCTGTTGGTCTTCCAACATCGCAATCTGTCATGCATGAAGCTGGTTTAAATCCTGACATGCTAACATGTTATCGTCATTACCACGTAAGTATAAGTGCTGTCTTTGTTATGATTCTAAACATAAACTTCACCTGTATCATACAATCGCATTGCTTTTCCATTCGTAGTTATTCCGCTATCAGATAAGATTATAGGTTATTCGTGTTATTGTTTGAGTGACTATTTCATTATTATGTTTAGTACATTTTCTAATAATCTACTTCTGGTAGATTTAGCGTCTATTTCTGGTGTAAATCTGATATACCCTATTTCCAACATTTCTAATCTGTTTGGCTTGTTATACACTTCCAGTACATTGGGCAGTTGACCTGTGTTTGTTTAATTAATTAAGAATCGTCACACTCAACTTTTCCCTTAGTGATTTGGCCTCAAAGAAAATGTCAACATTTACTTTTCGACTTGAATAATTGTTCAGGCATTCGTCTATACATTGCTTGCTAAAAGACAGTTGTTATATACATTTACAACCCTTAAATGATGTGCAGTCTCTAGCATCACTCTCACTCAGTCGCTACTCACTACCGATTTCAAAGCGTGTATCATCGCATCAGTATCATATTAGTTTGCAAGAAAAATAAATTTTATCGAACTATTCACTTGTTTTAAAGCTTAACATTGTTTATTCTTCATTTAAAATACTTCTAGCATCCTGGATCACATTTTGCCTGTGCATTTGATGCAGCAGCCACGTCAGCTTCAGTAGCCAATTTAAGTCATATTGGTGTTCATAACAATGTTCATCATCATCACCACCACCATCACCATCATCACCATCCAATGAATGTTTCAACCTGTGGCGATAATTTGGTCAGCTCTACTAATTTGCTTCATGTTCCCCAGCAACCGTCCAGCCTTTCGATAGACAGTTTAATGGCGAACCAAACAGGAACTATGGCATTCAACCCTTCTGTTCCAGTCGCGGCTCAACACTCTGGACATTCAACATTACTACCAGTTAGTGGAAGTAGAGTGTTGCCTGTGGGACCTCAATCCATATTGTCGACTGGCGGTGCTCCTGTGAATAATCATAGTTTGTCACCAAATAATATGGCTGCAGTCGCTCCTAACAATTTACCAGTGCTGACTCCTTTGCATGTGCCATCTTTAATAGATGTTAATGCATGTATTGAATCCAGTATGGAAACTGCCCTTACACTAGCATGTAGTGGGGGATTTGTTGATCTTGTCCGTCTATTGCTTGAACGTGGAGCTGATAAAGAGCATCGTGACAAAAAGTCACATACACCGCTTCATACAGCAGTGTGTGCTAATCAACGTGCAGTCGTTGCATTGTTACTGGAATATGGTGCAGACATAGAGGCACAAGTAGATCGTACAAAGGATACAGCTTTGTCCATCGCGTGTTCTCACGGAAAATTAGAGGTTAGTTTTTTTAGTTTTTATTGTGAAGTATGTATTTCTGAATGTATAAAGCTAAGTATTTTGCAAATATTCTTTAGGAAATGTCTTCAAGTACAGAGTGAAAATTAGTCTAACTGAAAACTTTAAAAAAAATTCCAGTCGAATACATATTTCAATCTAGCGAAGTTTACTGTTCATTGTGACGTTGAAAAGATCTTAATACTAATATTCTTTGTAAACTACCAAAGACCTTACGTTTTCGTAGAGGGATATGCACTTAAATCTATAATATTAATAAGAATTATGAATGCTTCATTGGCTTAGTCTATAGGATATTTATGGCATTTCGTGAGGTATTTCTAGTTTTTACTTTTCTGCCTTTTACTTTAAAGATTGTCGAAGAATTATTAAATCGTGGTGCTAACAAAGAACATCGGAATATATCTGACTACACCCCACTGAGTTTAGCTGCCTCTGGAGGATTTGTTGAGGTTATTCAATTGCTTTTACGACATGGTGCTGAAATAAACTCAAGAACTGGGTCGAAGCTTGGTATATCTCCTCTTATGTTGGCATCCATGAATGGGCACACTGCAGCAGTCCGTTTACTTCTTGAACATGGGTCGGATATAAATGCCCATATTGAAACTAACCGTAACACTGCTTTGACTCTAGCATGTTTCCAGGGTCGCTATGAAGTAGTGCAGCTGTTGGTTGAACGTAAGGCTAACATAGAACATCGTGCAAAAACTGGTCTTACACCCTTAATGGAAGCTGCATCTGGTGACTATGTGGACGTTGGAAGGATTTTGTTGGACCATGGTGCTGACGTCAATGCATCACCAGTGCCAAGTTCTCGAGATACAGCTCTTACTATTGCTGCAGATAAAGGAAATGCTAAATTCGTCAATCTACTTTTGGAAAAGTAAGTTGCAAACTATTCCTGCTAGTTATTTGTACTTCTCTTATTGTAGTACCATAATGTCAGTAATTCACGAATTTAATCAATTAAAATTGACGAAAAGATTTGAAAAACTACGCGTCATATGAATTTACACTGAATGATTTGAAAAACTTAGTTTCATTAAATGTATCACCCAAAATGTTTCCACTCTAAGATTAAATGTATTTTCAAAAAATACCTACTTATAGATCTAAGTAGTATAATTTTTTTCTTTTAATTTGTAGAGGTGCAGTCGTCGAAGCACGAAATAAGAAGGGTGCTACGCCATTATGGCTAGCTTCTAATGGTAAGTCGCCCCTATCATTTAAAGATATATATTTCTTTATTTAACCACCCGCAGATCATTTTGATATGTGCGTATGTGCATTTCTGTGTTTGGCCTGAGATTTTTTAATATCGCTATTTGTTTATTAGGTGGTCACGTTGAGGTCGTCCAAAGTCTCATCCAGTACAATGCAGATGTTAATAGCCAAGACAATAGAAAAGTCAGTTGTTTAATGGCAGCCTTTCGTAAAGGTCATATTAATGTGGTGCGAATGTTGGTCCAATACGTCACCCAGTTTCCATCTGATAAAGATTGCACAAGACATATCAAAACGGCTGTAACAGATAAGGTAAGCATTGCGACGTTTGTTTCTTAATTGCATGTAGTTTTAACTATTAATATTCTGTACAATTTGGTAATTAATCTGTGAATCCCCTACTTCAGAAATCTTTTTCATCTTTTGTGTTATTTATACACGGTTTTATGCTTACAATTGCCTTTTCGACAACTACTTCTCATCTCTGTCAATCAGGACGTTCACAATTTCTGATTGCGTAATTACGTAATCCGGACCAAATTTAGGCACACTCTTTTGTCGAGATTAGTGACGCACACCATCAAGGACAGCGCAACTCACTCTCCCATTTACTCCACATTTATAGTTATGGCTGCTTATATTGCTTTCATCTCTTCCCATCCCAATACTTACCACCCACACATTTCGATTTGGGAATTATCCTATCAAAATTCGCTTGACCTTGACTGTATGTCTGCATTTTTAACAATGGATATGATGACGTGTTTCATGTGACATCGCTTTACCTACTTAACTCTCACCTTGAGGTCGGTCTGTTTAAACTTTTTATATCACATGTTCTAGCCCCACACTGTCATTGGTCTAAATGTCCTCCAATGACATGCGTATGCTCTCTAAACGAATCAAATTACGGCAAATATTTACTCTGAATATTAGTTCATGTCTCTTGTATGGTTTTGCCTAAATACTATTGGGTTATGTCGTGTGATCATCTAATACTGAGACAACTAAATCAGTTTTCATGCGTCTAACCTGGGCAGGTCATTTAAACAGCATGCGTTAGCCAGTGAATGTTGAATAACCGGATATTCTTACCTGCGTCCTAGCTAAATGACACATTATCTGTATCTAACGAAGTACAACTCCTCTAATGTTATAGCAAGTACACGTTTCGAAATAGCAGCTCAAAATCCTTCGTCGTATTCCTTACGACGTTGGAAACCTCACCATGCATTGACAAATATCCCTTCGTCTCTTCCCCTGCGTGATGAGAATCCACTCGTCACCAGTTTCCATAACTTTCGGCATTCAAATGAACTGAGCATTCTGCCCACTTATACCAATCCCGCTACCACTAATTTGTCAAGTGTTTTACCTAAACAACAAACATCCTATGCTTTGAATGAGGACTATAATTATTATTATTCTAACAGCACACACTGTGATGATGAAAGCTTACTTATTGAGGATGACATTGCATCGATTCACAGTACAGACAGAATATCATCTTCGTCATCCAGTGGATGTTCTGTCAGTTTCGATTCTTTTTCCTCTGGTCATTGTTCCTTCTGTAATTCAGTAAGTAACTACATGTTTTGTGTACCACTCAACTGTTTATTGATAATCCTTTTTCGTTGCCCTACATTTCAAATGAAACAGTCGTACATTATATTTTCTATGTTGAATATATGTATTTATATGCCATACAATGGAACTACTGATCTGTAATTCCAAATATGCATAAAAACGGAATAACGGTATCGCCCTACCTAATGCTTGACATCTTAGTCAAAATAATAGTAAGGCAGGATTTATAAACTCTGGTAGCAGGAAGGAGTGAGGTAATCCACTTGCCAGTCGACGATTGCATATTGCATGGTTCATACAACTGGTAAATCTCCAGGACTTTACCTGGGATCCCGAGCCAAATACTATAAATGTTTGTATGTTTTGACCACAAAAATATTAGGGAGCTGCTTTTTTCTTTATTGTTCGATATAGTTATATTTTATTAGAAAAGACTGCTAATCCCAGCTGCTTAGCACCATCAACACCTTGTCTAACGAAAAATGCCCATTGTGCTCTGTATGCCAATTTAATCCGTAGTATTCAATCATGATTTCTTCATTCCAAAGCAAGTACGCTTCTGACGTGTTCTTTACCTTCGGAGGATATTTAATAACATATCCCAGCTACTGATATACAACGGTATATATTTGTGTTTATAAATTTGCTATATCCATCTGATTATCTTTTACCTCAACATTTGATCTCAGAATTCATATCACCAAGCTCAATTTTTTTGAAGCATGCATATATATATTCGCGCGTTATTTTACACTGAGATGCAAATTTAAGGAATTTATGCTGAGAGAGATACCTGTCGGTTGAGATGGCGTAAATAATCCACGATCATACAAAAGTCATATCTTTTAGCAAGCTGTAAACAATTCGTACAACTTTATTTAGCTCTTTGTTTTTTAATTTCGTATTTGATAACTTCTATCCGCTTTTTTATTATCATGAAATTTATATCATTACTTACTTATTGTTGTATTTTTTCCAGTGTATCGAAATAAGTAACTGGTTATTATTTCACTTGAAGAGATGAAGGCTATATATGCGCCTAATTGTGTTGATAAATAATTGTTTATCGATCCGTGTGATCAATAAGCTTAATTGGGTTGTGCGTTTTTCAAAACTTACAGGAATTGGCCAAGCGCTGTCAACAGTGCAGAGAAATCATTATAGCTGCTAAAGAAAAACAAGAAGGTGAAGCAAAAAAGAATGCCGATTGTCTTTTGGAGCAAATTGAACAAGAGGAAGAGGAACGCGCCAATCGTGAAGCAATGCAAGCACGTAAACGAGAAAGAAAACGCATGAAGCGTAAAGCGAAACAGGAGAAAGAACGTCAAGTGAAAACTCCAAATCCAGTAAAATCTGCCCAGAAAACATCACAAGTCAATACAGCTACTGAAGCTGGGAGAAACCAACATAATGTTCAGGATCATGATGAACAGTCTAGGTGAGTTTCTCATACAGCGTTCATTATACATGTCTAACTCATGTAACTAAAATTTGTTTCTTCCATATGCTTAATTAAGTTAAGTTGTGTTATTATGCAGCCGTGTTTGTATTTTACTATGCCTAAGCCTTTGATTGATTGATTGATTGATTATCTGTCCTCATAATTGATATTTCCCACTAAGTTCGAGGGTATAAGTCCTTGTTATTTACAAATTTGTGAAAGTTCACTGGTCGTTTTTTATGTATAGCCTAATTGATTCACTTTTACTCCTAATCATACTAAACTGTAATCTTATAAAATGTTTAGGAAACGATGGTTCTCGTAAATAACATTCGATAATCACCAGGTAATGGAGTTCCCCGCCTCACGACGTGGATGGGAGATTCTTCGGTGTGCGTATAATAGGCCTATTCCAATTTCACTTGTGACGTTCTATATTTTTCTCACGTTAATGCACTTCAGACAAGTGAACATGCACCTTTTGTATATTTACTGAAAACCGCATTTCCTAGATATTCCGTTATAAGCGTTTTTATCACACTCTTATTGATGCGTATAGTTGTACGATGTAGTTAGAGCAAATCACTGCTATAAACCGTTGCTCAATTACAAAAGAGTGAATACTTAAGTTATATATATATTCTTTTCATCTGTCAACCTGAGCAGTGTTATTTAATGAAGCAGAAATATTTCAGGTAATGATAAAGTACATAAATTTTTTGGCAAGATATTGTCTAAAATCTGTGTTGATAATATTTATAGATTTACAGAACTGTATAGCCTGAAGAAAATATTGAAAATATTCCCTGTTTCTAATTATATGGTGGGGTTTTTTGAATTACAATCATGTGGATTTTGAGGGTGTTACCACACATGTCTTAACAAGTTATTATGAATGATGTTGCGTAGCGGACCATTCGTTGAATTACGCATTCTACGTTCAACTGGTGTCTCGTTCTACTGTAACTGAGGTTAGGCTAACCAGTCCTCACTTCATGTTTTATCGCCAAAGACATTGAAAAAATAATGTAATATGTGCGATTCCAACTTTTCCATCACCAATATCTTGCTATTATCGTCAATGTGTAATCTATGAATTCCACTTTAGGAGGAGACATTTCACTCCAAAGTTCTGTGTCTGTGTAGAATTCAATACTTGGTGCATGAACATTATTGAAAAAGATTGTCGAAAGTCACAATTGCAGCTCAACTGTTCATATTCTCTGTCGATATTGATATATCTTAAGTCGCATAGTTAAATGCGCATTGAGTTGTCCACTGCTAATATTATGTAAACCTTCAGGTATATCATCATGGTTGTGTAATATTCTTAACTATATTTACTATTTGCTGGTGTATTCAGAAACTCGTATACTGTCACACATGTATATATATATATATATATGAGTCGTTTCTTTTTGTCCTATTTCTTCTTACGTTTTCCGACTTTTATTTACTTATTCAATTGTTTTAACCAACCTGTAATCACCATATGTAGGATTTTGCAGTTTTCACATAGCATTACATTTGTCGTTTTTTTCGATGCGTGCGTCACTAACTTACGGAACAGCTATTGTTAAGTATCAAAAGTTTCCTACACAAAATTTATTTGGACTGCCCTGTGTGCATAATTATTTAGGCCTAAATATCTCTAATGTATTAAAGGTGAAAGGTTTATGAGGACTGGTTGATTGACAAATTCTCGTTCCTATGCTTCGGTTTTTTAACTCATTGTACCCGAAATCCTGCTATCCGCTTTTTTTGCTCAATTTTTTATTGTGTTGATTCATTTACTACCACAATCCACTTGACAACATGATTAATGCTTGTTATTACGAGGTATTTAAAACTTTTATTTTTTTTTTTCAGCACCGAGCACAGTCCCACACTGTCACGTGTTTTACAACATGCACAGGAATCTGCACTTTGTGACCAGTTATCAAACACTGTCATCGATGATTTAGAAGATGATCCATGTTCTTCATTTCTTAATCCTTCTCGGTCACCTGTTGCTTCAATTCACGTGGCGTCAGAACCTAGCAAGTCATCTAACCACGAAGTGAATAATGATGTGCACCACCCTAGTGCTGAAACCTCACCGAATATTAATGAAAAGCCCGGTGTTCAGCAGGACTCAGATTCTGCTGCTAATAGCTATGGTTCACAAGATCCTGAATCCAACGCAGCTGCCTTAACAGAGGCGAAACGTGAAAAGCATCGAAATAAAAAACAGAGCCAGAGAGCAGCCAAACGTGCAGCTGCTGAAAATAATGCAGTTTCCAATTCCGACAAAGCAAGTAAATCGCCTAGTCCTGAAGTTCAAGATCCGGATAACTCTGTGCTGCCTTCATGCTATGCAATTTCTCCAAGTGGTGATGAGGAGAACTGGAATCTACTTATTGAATCACAGGACGCTCATTTCGACCAATATTTAGATATGGAGAAAAGTCCAGTAGGTATGAACGATTCTAACTCTTGGACTGTCGTTGTACCATCGAGTAGTACACGATCTCAGCGCACTACTGTCGGTACGAATGCATCTACTCGCGTGCCTCATGAAACAACTGACTGGAAGACGACTAGTTCTGGTAACAGTTCTTATAAACGACGACTTTCTATTCCTGTTTCAAGACATGATATTGGTAAAGTTATAGGTCAAGGTGGAGCTGTTGTTAGTGCCTTAAGAAATATGAGCGGGATTCAGATAGACATCGAAAGTGCTCGCAACGATGAAGTAACGGAGCGTATGGTTTATTTAAAAGGACCAGGTGAAGCTGTTCAGCGTACCTATGAAACCATTCAAGGGTTGCTTGACGGTTCTATTGCCGGTAATGATGTTCTTCTCATGTATAATGCTTTGAAAAAGTCTTCTACATTACCTTCAAGCATGCCTGTTTCCAATACTGTTCTAAACTCCCTTACTTCCAGGTTAAATGGGATGACTACAGTGACAGTATCAAGTACAATGAAAAGTGGATCGACTAACACAAAGGGTGTAAACCCAAACGGCAAAACTGCTCGCAAAACTGGCAAATCTGTTAATAACGCTTTAATAGCGAATACTACACGATCTACCTCAACTCAACCAACTCCACTTCCTGTAGTTAACAAATCCAATAAGACACCCGTAGTATCCACCGTCTCTTCCAACAACAATAATAACAACACCTTTTCCAATACTACAGTCCCTTTGTTGTCAGTAACTTGTCCGAGCCTTGCAAACGTCAAAGTCCCGTCTTCGGGATCGACGAGTTGGAGTTCAAAAGTCATAAATACCAGTTCCTCAAAAGGAAACTTCGCTTCCGTCGCTGCAGCGGGATTAAATACACAATCGACACGTGTTGTTAAACCAACAGACAACCAAACGAAAAATGGACGCAGCCAGTTAAAGACTACAGTGCCAAATCTGATTTCTGCACCACCAGCAGTCTTGTCAGGATCCACAGCAACACCTGTATCATTATTGTCTCTCAATTTGTCTTCGTATCCTTCTAGTAGCCATATGTTCCCAGATTTCATTCCTTCCCTTTCTAATACCGGGGACTTCGCTCCTGAGTGTCTGGATGAATCGAGTTTTCCTCCTCTGAGTGCTTCTAAATGCACTAAAGTTTCACAACTAAAAACAGCCACTACATCATCAATATCCTCGGCTACCACGTCAAATACAAGGGATTCTTGTATGTCTAATATACAGATTTCCACTTCATGCGCTACCATATGTCCTTCTGAGGGCGTCGAACAGGAAAAAGTAAACACTTCATCCAATAGCTTAACAGATATGCTTTCCGTCAGTGTTTTTGACAGTTCTGTTCCCACTGTCCATACGGTATCTACTTCAAATTCATTCCCACTTACGGGACATTCTGCCACTTCACCTCCTAATTATGATCCTTTGACAGTATCTCCTCCCAGCGGAGTTGCAAACACTTCTCAACCAAATACTCCAGCAGGATCTGGTGGAATGAATCCACCAGCTACGCCACCTACAGCCACCCCTCAAACGAAGTCGTTTGCCAGAGCTCCAGGTTCTGAGCGAAGCGCTCATCAAAGAAGTGCAAACATAACCGTAACATCCGCTGCAATTAGTTTAACCGATTCTTTTCCACCATCACTTTTATCCTTGGATGTTAATGGTAACACAAATGTTTCTCTTAACAATGAGTCAAGTGACACTACGCTTTTTACACCTACCAAGCGAGCTATTGCTTCTGACCTTCATAACTCTGACTTCCGTCATGATTCAATTTCCAACCATTTTCGATCAGATAGGTCATGTAGTTGGCAAACTTCTGATGCGTCGGTAACGTCTTTACCACCATCTGCATTCACAGCAATCCCGAGTACATTAGCTTCCATATCGACAAGTATGGATAACTCTACGATGGGTAGTCATTCGGCTACGGAATCTGTAACCAATGTTTCTCAAGTTCGCAACACTATGGATACACTTAGTTCTATGCCAACACTTTGGCCAGTTCAGACAGCCGATTTAAACTCGAATTCACTGGCGTTTCAACCATCCTTCCAGCCACTTAACCAAATATCTACCAGCTTAAAAGCCAGCACCGATACAACAGACTCACTGATGCAAACATCCTTACTGCGAAGTGATTTCACTAGTCATGGTGCAAGTGATCACTACTCTCTTCAAGGGTCACAGTCTGGTATATTACGTCAGATGACACCTCAAACATGTCTCCAAAAATCACATATACAAACTACTCAACAGCAAGTTCAGAATGGCAACGGAACAGGTTTAAACGTGTCAAGTGCAGCTAATGTATTGCCGACAACTTCTGCACATAATTCTCCTAGTGCATCTTTGCGATCTAAGCCACCAATATCTGGTACATCTTCTGGATACTTAGATTCAAGACCAGCCGTTCTAAATGGATACCCAAATAACATATGCGCTCAACCAACATCCATGCCTTTAAACACTCAGTTTTCCTCGATATTTCCAGTAACACAGCAGCAGTCCGTGCCCCTACAACAGCTTACACTGAGTCCAGGTACTGTTTCGGGTTTGAATCACCAGTCTGCAAGTGGTTTATCAACACGACTGGGTAATTCGTCTCATCCTATGGTTAACCAAGCCCAATTCGCAATGTGTTCATCTGGTTCGGGTGGTTCTTTCACTCCACCTCCATTCATGCCTGGTTATGTCCAACCTAATATGCAACCTGTGTGTAATGCTGCATCAGTTATCCACCCAAATACAAATTACGCGTCTCATTTACTCAATGGTAAGCACTCATGTATTTTATTCACTGGTTTTGTGAGTTAATGGGTTTAGTTTATACTATGCTAAAAATACTAACAGATAAGTGAGGAGTGTTTCTGCAAACTGCATGCAAATATAGTTCGTCGTTCAAGTTTCAGTTCTAGTGTATTCCTGAATATTAAGTTAAGGTTTGTTATTCTTGGTTCACTAATCACTTGATTTTCGTAACAAATTTCCTAAAATATACAAACATAAAACATCACTTAGACTCAATAGGAACTCAGGAAACAGTTTTTCTGACGAACTTATTTTCTTGGTTAGTTATGTTCTAAGGGCTCTATCACCAAGTCAGATTAGCTGAAAGCAGTTCACTCCATTCCTCTAAATGACTGGCAAATTGCGTTGTAACACCGGTACATAATTGTGCCGAACTAGTTGGAACTAAAGCAATTTCAAGTGATTTTATTCAGAGGTCAGTCCTTATTTCATGGATTTTTTCGCCTGACAATTTATTAATATTTCCCATTAAATTTCTCCTTTAGTGGATTATCTTTTTTTATTAAAACCTAAGTTTTAATTTATTCTAGGTTTCGGGTCGTCGCCACATGTTGGAACAGCCTGTACTCCGACGGTTGGGAGCGGAGTTCATTTAGGTATCCCGTCAAGTGCAACACAGGGTTCCATCGCTATACAACCAATTGGTGCTGAACGTCGCCGACAAGCTAATACTCTTGCTTCTATCACGTCATCAAGCATGATCTATCCTAATATGTCAAGTAATAGTAGTCTTGCTGGACCAATGAACTCTGCTACACAAGTTATGGGCAACCCATTGGCAGCAATGCATCCTCAAGCTTCTTCTCCACAACAGTGTTCTGTTAATTCTAACGCTAATAGTTTGCTAATGGCTTTCACGATGAATTGGATGCAACAACAACAACAGCAGCAGCAACAACAACAACAACATTCAAGCTTGGTTAGTGGATCTACTGGAACAGCTAATCCACCCACAAACTGGCCTCCATCAATCTGGCCCGCTAATAATTTAAACAGCAACTTTCCTGTAACTTGTCCACCGATTAAAGTTCCCCCTGGAAATCCGAGTGAAATTAACATCTATAATAATTCAGCAATGCTTCCCAACACTTTACCTACTGTTAATGGGGTCACAGGACAACAACATCAACAATCTCTAATGGCTGCAGCTATGGCAGCGATGGCAAATATGTACCCTTGGAACAGTAATGGTAACGGTGGAAACTCTGGTCTGATGAGTGGAGTGTCTGGTGTATCAACAGCTGGCTCGAATCGCTGGGTTTGTCCTCAAACCAGTACTGCGTTTCCTGGTGTTAATCCTCCAACTTCCCAGCCGTTCTATCAAGAACAGTATCCTACACTGAAGCCTAGTGGAGGTCCTAACAGCGGTATTCATCCGGGCTCTTCCCCTCACTCTTAGCTGATATTTCTGGAATGAAAGTCACATATAACTAATTCGAAATTATAATTCTTTGGTGTCGATTAATTTAATCTTTCAACTGAACAAAGTTTGTTTCTGTCGCGTTTTTTCTAAAACCATAGTTTTTAATTTGAAATAATGCAAGGTCCCTCCTTTTATGATGAAGATAATTAGGGTTTGTCTCAGTAATATTTGCTATGAGAATCGATTTTTATGCTTGGTTCTCTGCGTTCTGTATTTATTTTGATTTGATTTCAGGGTCGCTTCCCGGTTGCAAGCTGCCTGCATTGATGATCATAAGTTATTTCAATCTAATTACTTTTAGCACTCTTTTGCATCATTATACCTTTGCATCCACTCATTGGTTGCTTGTTTCTTGTAATCTTAAACAGCCTTGAATTCAGTGATAATTTATCAGTCGAATTCTTGATAGATTGTAATAATTTATCCTTACCATTTTATTACCTTGTTATGTTGAATGGATTACTTTAATAAAATTAAGGTTTTAATGCTGCAATCCATTATAAATATTTTCATTTTATTGCAGTACTTTATCTATTCTTATATCATTTTGATCAATGCTTGTCTTTCGTATTCTCCTGATTCTGCTGTGGTTTGCTTATTATCTTAACTTGATCAAATCAATATGAATGTTTTACTTTCTCGTTTTCTCTTAATTACCTTCAGTTGTAGTTGAAATGTATGTTGATCCACCTAGCCCGCTCACAACAAATATACTTTATTTCACTGTGTAATGAATTTAATTCATATGTTTTCTTATTCTCCTACAAGACCTGTTTTTTTGTTTTGTTACGACCTATGATTTTGATTACTATCATCTCTGTTTTCACGTTATTGGATAGATTTGAGATGTATGGTTTTAAAAAATCCTTATTGGCAATTGTGTTTTGCAATCGCCTAAATTTATTGGTTACAACCCTAGCTTCCCCATTTTTTCCGGCCCAGTCGCTCGATCAGCTGGTTGACGCATCTTCGTCAGTGTAATGTACTGTATCATAGATCAAGCATTCTACTTTTATTTGTCCGATGAATCTCATTCTTAGACCAAAATAAATGGGTTTCTTAAAGTTATTTTTTGGGCAAATGATTAGACATACTACAGGATAACCAAAGGAGAGGATAAGTGAATGAAAAAGAGTAATTACAAGATTGTATAGCTATATATTTTTATTGTAAGCGTGTCAATTTTAATTGGTGCTTCTTTGTTTAGTGTGTGTAACATTCTCCGGTATGTCAAACTTTCCCTTTAGACTTTGTGGCTTCAACTCTAGACCCATAAAAAGACATCTCCAATCGTATACTTTTTAGTCTTCTGCAATGATTGCCTAAAGTTGTGCTAGGTACATATCAAAAGAGAGAGATATCCTCTCTCGTTTATAGCGTGTTACTGACACCTGTGAGTTGCGTAGCATAGATAGCCGTTCATGTGGTGCGTCATTCACCTTGTATTAGTATCACAATAAAAGTAGAAATTCAGAACACAGACTGTGCGTCGGTGGCACAGGGGTTAGGACGTTCTCCGACCATGCACATGGTCCGAAGTTCGATCCGCGGCCGACACACACCTGAAATCAATGGTTGGCCTGCTAAATTTGGGCTACCGATATCACATGCTGAAAATTTCATACTTGTACCAAAATACTGTATGGAATCAAGCTATAATAAAGAAATATGAGTTTTAAGTGCCTTCAGTAAGTTAAAAAAAATTAAGAAATGCTAAACCTATGACATTTGACGGCTATGGATAAGCACTAGACTGGATTGCCAATGATAACTTGTACTGAGTAATTTCTTGCTAGACGCATTCAGATTACAACCTTCTGTCGACAATGTATTTGACATAGTGGTAAAGTTGTGTGCTAAAAAGTTGTTTATAGCATTTGATTGTGGCAGGGTATATTTTGCCAAGAAACGAAGCATTCTGGAAAGCCATTGAGCGCTAGAGGTATGTTTCTTCCTGTCAACGAGACATATTGACTACCTCATGTGGATAATTCGAACTACCAAGGTGGTCGGTTGAAAGAAAATAACTCAATGATAGCGACCCTCGATTCTCAAATAAATGTCGACACCAAGTCAACGACAGACACAAATGGATCATCTAGTTATGAGATGTGAATACATACGGTGGGAGGAAGATAGTTTCTCTTTCTGCGACTCTGGTCACTCATTGGTTCATGTATGGATATGCATTTAACTGAATAGACATAGGAATAATACGGCTACAAAGCCACTAACCCCACATTTTTTGATGAAGACTGTTTCTATGTTCAGGGAAAAAATAACTGAATACATCTGAAGATGACAACAACATTCTGAGCAGGCCTAGCTACAGAAACACTGCCAGAGGCTATTGGTATTATTATTATTTCCTTTAGTTCCTAGAGGAACATAGGGCTTCAGCCATGCGTCTCCATTGCGTTCGGTTCTCTGCTAGAGTTTTCACCTGGCTCCAAGTCTGCCCATACGCTTTCAATTCTTCTTCACATGATCTCCTCCAGGTCACCCTTGGACGACCAACTAGCTGCTTCCCTTTCGGGTTCCACTCAAGGGCTTGTCTAGTAATGTCACTTGATGGTTTCCTAAGAGTATGTCCAATCCATCTCCATTTCTTCCTGCCTATTTGTTTCACAATCGGTTCCTGGTTGATTCGCTCCCAGAGATCCCTGTTGCTGATCTTTTCTGGCCGGCCATCTGATCTTGAGTATTGAGCGAAGACAACTGTTAATGAAGGTCTGTAGTTTGTTTGAGATGCTCTTTATGACGCGCCAAGTCTCTGATCCGTATCATAGCACTGACTTCACATTGGAGTTGAAAATCCGGATCTTATTTTCATTTTCATGCTGAGTGTTGTTGACCTCCACACAGACTTGAGAGTAGTGAAAGCTTGTCTTGCTTTTCCGATTCTTGCTTTGATATCCTCGTCAGTTCCGCCTGTAGTTGAAACAATGCTTCCCAAGTAGGTAAAGGAGGTAGTTTCTTTCAGGTTCCTTCCATTTATGCTGATTGCTGTCTGTTGTTGTTGCTGTGGCTGTTGGTGTTGGCCAGGTATCTTCATCACCTCCGTTTTCTCTATGTCCACCTGGAGTCCTATCTTTGATGCTTCTTCTGCCAACTTGTTACTTTTCACTTGCATATCTTCCAGTTTGTGGGAATACAGACATATATCATCGGTGAAGTCCAGATCCTCCAAGTTTTTCGTGAGGGCCCATTTTATGCCTGTTTCCTCATTGCCCGCTGTTTGTCGCATTATCCAGTCTATTGCAAGCAGGAAAATCATTGGCGATAGTAGGCAGCCAGTTTGTCTTACTCCTGTCCTCACTTCGAAGGATTCCGTAAGTTTCCCGTTGTGGATTACTTGGCATGCAGCATTGTCGTACAGCTGTTGGATGAGATGTATAATTGTCGGTGGCATCCCGTAGTAGCGAAGGAGTTGCCAAATCGCCTCTCGATCGACGCTGTCGAAGGCCTTTTCAAAGTCGATGAAGTTGAGATAGAGAGGTGACTGCCATTCCAAACTTTGTTCAATGATGATTCGTAGTGTGGCGATTTGATCAATACATGACTTGTTTCTTCTGAATCCAGCTTGTTCCGGTCGAAGTTTTTCATCCAGGGCTTGTTTGATCCTTTCCAGGATGATGCGGCTTAGTATTTTGCTTGGGATGGACAGGAGCATAATTCCGCGCCAGTTCTTGCATTGACTTAAGTCTCCTTTCTTTGGTAGTTTGAATAAGTATCCTTTCTTCCAATCCTCGGGTACTTTGCCTTCTTTCCACATTTTCTCCAGTAGTGGCGTCATCAAGTCTGCTGTTGTCTCTGGGTCCACTTTCAACGCCTCTGCTGGGATTCCATCTGGTCCTGCTGCTTTTCCAGCTTTCAGCATCTTGATTGCCTTCAGGACTTCTGATTTCGTCGGGGGGTTGGTGTTCACTGGTAGCTCTGTCTCCGTTGTTGGTATTGTTGGGCGTGTTGTAGGTGGCGGTCGGTTTAGTAGTCTTTTGAAGTGTTCAGCCCACTGTTTCCCTTGCTCCACTTCTTTGGTGAGTGACTTTCCATTGTCATCCTTCACTGGCTTAATTTGTGACGAATTTTTGCCTGAGAGGTACCTAGTTGTTTGGTAGAGTGTTGCGAGGTCTCCTTTGCCTGCTGCTTGTTCTGCTTCATTGGCCATGGCTTCATAATACTTTCTTTTGTCTTCTCTGGCACTCTTCTTTACTCCTTTGTTCAGTGTATTGTAGCTTGCATTCAACTCCTGTTTCTGTTGCTCGTCGGTGCACTGGATAATCTTTTGTTTCACCATCCTTCTCTCTTCTATTAGCCTCCAAGTGTCCGTAGTGAGCCACGGTTTGTCCTGTCTCTTCTTTCTGCCCAGAACTTCCATGCAGGTTTCGCTCCATACCGCTTTCAGGTTGTCCCAGTGTTTTTCGACGCTGACCTCTTCGCTAATGTTGATTTGTGTCTCAGCTTTGTCCTTTATGCTTGCAGTAAAGATGTCCTTTGTATCCTGGTCCTTTAGTTTTTGAGTGTTGAACTTGGCTTGTGGTCTATCTGCAGCTCCTGTTTCTCTGAAAGCTTTTAATTTGAGTTGGATTGTTCCTTGTACGAGGTAGTGGTCTGAGCCAGTGTCTGCTCCTCTTCTTGCTTTCGTGTCCAGTAGGCTGCGCCGCCACTTCCTCGAGATTGTGATGAAGTCAATTTGGTTTTTGGTTCGCCTATCTGGTGACACCCATGTAGCCTTGTGAATATCCTTGTGTTTGTATACGCTGCCACCAATCACTAGTTCATTGAAGGCGCAGAAGTCGGCGAAGAGTTCTCCATTTTCGTTCATCTCTCCCAGAGCTTCTTTACCCATGATGAGTTCCCTTCCTGTGTTGTCTGGTCCAAGTTTGGCGTTCATGTCTCCCATTAGTATTTTAATGTCACCAGCTGGAGTATTGTCTATTGCTGCCTGTAGTTGTCTGTAGAATTCTTCTTTCTTTTCGAGGTCTGCGTTGTTTGTGGGTGCATAGCACTGTATAATTGACACTTTTCTTCCTTTGGAGTTGAATCTGGCGGTCATTATTCTGGGTGAGATCGCCTCCCATTGTATCAGAGCCTTGGTTGCCGTTGGTGACATCATGATAGCCACGCCCTCGGTGTGTGTGTGGTTGTCTTCTGGGTGACCGGAGTAAATCACTGACTCACCTGTTGACAATTTGGTGAGTCCGTTTCCGTTCCATCTGCTTTCGCAGATCCCCAATACTTGTATTCCGTATCTCCTCATTTCGCTTGCGATCTGGGCAGCTTTGCTAGTCTCGTACATGGTGCGGACATTCCATGTCCCCACACAGACTTTTTCTTTTGACGCAAGGAGATTGTTCACGCTGAAGTTTCTGTAGCAGGTTTGTTTACAGGGTGGGGTTGCTGGCCTCACGCCTGGAGGCTATTGGTAACCTGCAACGAAAAATTTAGTAAGTGTCAGTCAATTCTAGGTGTAAGAAGGCTGATTAAAGCTGGCTCCGAGCACGACGAGTGACGGAATTTGCTGGGAAAAACTGACTGGAATTCTTCACAACGATCGTGAACAGGGTGTTGGTGATAAAAGCCAAAGATATGAAAAAAAGAATCAGCTGTGCAAACTGCCTGGAAGTTATTTCAAATGTAGTATAAGTAGAATGATTTACAAGTAGGACGAGAATTCAGTTACTTTCCAAGGGAAACAACCAGGACATTTTTAGGAATAATTCGATTGGCCCACTGCCATCCAATTCGTGCTAGAATAGACCTTCATCTGTAACAGGGTGGGAAAGCTATATGTAATCTAAGATGAGGCATAGCAACAGGATCTAATTGTTTGGTTTCAGAGGTGTTTGATGGCGATAAATTACCGGCTAGATTAGGAAATGTACGGGGATCTGAGACTGTTCCGTTGGTTCATACGCTTTTTTGAATGGGGCCAGACATCCAACAAGCCCTTTGTCCATACGTCTGCCGGTGAGCTCCAGTGAGCTGCATACGCCAGTCGTTGGAGGTTTGGAATCAGGGTTTAGCCATCTCCTTTAGACTGAAGCAGATCATTGGTCGCTCCATTTTATTAGAAACAGGCATAGTAAATATACGACTTAAGGTATCATAGTCCTTCTCATATGAAATGAACCCAAAGAAACCAGGTTCGTATGTGGTCGCATTGATCATATTCCACTCTTCTACAGATTGTGGAACATAGACATAATTACTGACGTCCAACGCTTGCCATATTTCATTAGCAGTTGGCTTGAGCCACAGAGGGAGGGATAGA